TATGTACAGTTCATTGAGATTGCATGAAAAAGACTTTTATTGTGAAATTTAAAAACCTTCCATCAGGTGATTTAACTTAATGCCAGGGGAGCGTGTTCAGTTGGAATATGAAGGAGAATGGAGCATAATAGTTTTTTTACCTCGCCCTTCCCAGGCTCCGTTGGACCTAAAAGATTAAATTTTGTGGATATATTTGATGTTTTTTGTAATGTTGCGTTAATTTTACAAGTAAATCGTTAAAAGCAAGAAGTGGATTTATTTTCTAAGTATTTTTTTATGCAAGGGAGAACCCACAAGTATTAAACCAACATTTAGATCCTATTAGCAACAGTACAAGGGATACTTTTGACTCAAAGACTGTAGGACTTGGTTTCTACATTCTTAACTTGAACTTGAGAAGACATCAGACATCTCTCACCGAGGGCAACTCCAGAATAGAAGAGCATCCAACCCCTCTTCAGAAGACTTGTTCCATAGCAAGAGCTGTACATTGAGGTGAGGCTGACTGTTTCTAGACGAAATCTCTCTGCCTCACATTCAAACTCAGGCTCCTTCCCAACCATAAAGGTGATATTTCGCGTCCCAAGAGTCAGCTTCTGCAGCCGGGGATTGGTCGGTCAAGGTCCCCGTCGTTGGCTGCCACCCGTGTTGCAATGCACCCGACCCATAACTTTAATGTTGTATCTAAAAAGCGTCTACAAAACGCATTGACAAAAAAGCCTCTGCTTCTCCTTTAAAACAGCCCAACTGCAAAGTGTGTGTGTGTGTCTTTGTGGTATCTGAGTGGAGCAGAGTGGTGCACAAATCCTTTCACCTGTTCTTTTTTCATTCACACGGGCAAAGATAAACAGACCCTTTCTTTGGAGGAAGGATCAACATATCTGCTGCTTGGGTTTAAACATGGGTGATTAATCGCTGCAATAATAACTCACTGCTTTACAAGAGGAAAGCTTTGAAGAGTAAAATGAATTCTTATATTGTATATCAAATCACTAATTTTCAGGGTATGTCTCATAGTAAGTAAGTGAATTCATAAGTAATGCATTTTATACCCCATACAGGGTTTATGTTTATGTCATATCATGTAGGACGCTTGCTTGTAAATACATCTACAAGCTGCTTTTCTCATATTTACTTATAGCCACACACTAAAAACATTAGATTATCCTGTAAAAAGTTTAAGCCTAAGATTTCTGATCATTTAAGGGAAGTTCATTGTTTGGCCATTCTATGGTTTTACATTCTAAAAGTTTAACATTTTATTTGAATCTGAGATAAAATGCACCGAACAGATGCTACTAAAGTTTTGTGAAAGATTTACTAAACACATTTAATTGGAATGCTTCACATTTTATTGTTACACCCCTTTATCCAGACACAATATACATGTACATACTGTAATGGGAATGTTTTGGTTTTACTTTTCCTGCTCTTGGCGGAAAAAGTTAGTGTTTTCAGAAAATGTCCTTTAACTGACTGGATTCAATCATTTGGGAAATTAAGAACAATTTGTTCTTAACAAAGTACATTGACATATCTGTGAATATTCTCAGACATCCAGGTTCTGGTCAAGCTTGAAAAGTTCAGTATAGGCAACAAGATGTGAATTTTTATAGAAGACGTTTCAAGAAGCTTCTTCAGTTCTACCTGATGGGGGGAGCACTGAGATTGATATACTGTAGGTGTAACAAAAAAAAACTGGAGAAAAAATAAATAAAACAAAGGTGGCTCTGGACCCTCCTACTGGGTGGGCCATGGAGGTCAACTAGGGGAGTGTTAATGATTGTTGAGGGGTTCTGATTGGTCGTTAACTCCCTCATCAGAGTTGTTCTGGTCACATGTCTCTTTGAAGTGTGAGTCAGATGAATCTCCTGAGTATTGTTCCTAAAAGTCCTTTGTAAGCAGATGACAGGTTATGTCTAACGCCACTGCCTCTGTTGAGTGATGTTTTTTTTCCAGGTTAACAAAGATGGCTTCCTTAACCCCTGTCTCAAACCATCTGTCTTCCTTGGCCAAAATGTGGACGTTGTTGTCCTCAAACCAGTGTCCTTTAGCCTTCAGTTGCGGGTGAGTCCTATCCTGTGTAGCAGATGTTTGGTCTCTCAAATGTACATTTCTGTGCGCTCTTCACTACAATGAACATGTTGTCGTTCTCATTGACCAGAGCCAAGTGTATATTTTTATCATACGAATTCTTTTTTTCAAAAATATCTTCCCAATTGTAATGTCATGTTTAAACCAAGTTAAAATCTAAAATGACAAAAAAGGTTTAGATATTAGGGCTAGAAAAGATCTGTCTTTTGTCAAAGCCCAAAATCTGTCTGGGTTGTATCTGAGCCCTTTGCTGTGGTGCTCCAAAATGTTATTTAGGATGACCAACTAACATGGAGTGGATAGCTGAGATAAGACAGATGAAAATGTTTTTTATAAAGTAGTTTCAGGAAGTATCTCAGTAAGAGGGTGGCCTCACTCCAATAACCATATCAGCTACTGATGCACATGCTTTTATTCTCATTGTAACATTAACTCTCAGCATCCAATATTCAACATTCAACCATGCACATAGCTTTTCTGAAGGCCAGTTAGGAGTAGTCTTGCGTTCGTTGGTGGCCCAGCCTCCCACTTTCAAAGACAGCGTGATCTGATTCTCACCTGTCAGGAAGCCGTGCGTGGTGATTTATGGCTCTCTTCGCTAAGCAAGAGCAGGTATCCCAGTGAGCTGCGTGCCCCTGCTTTTAAACTAATTTCTGCATGCAAAATTTCCCTACCTGTACTTGTGTCATTTTTCTTAATGACTATTAAG